TTTATGTTCAGAGTTACAATAAAAATGTTTAAAATTAAAATTAGATATAAAGGCATTTAATTTCCTAGAAAGTAACCAATTTGAAATCTTTTTCTTTGAAGTACATAGCATATTTTTTCTCTTTCTTAGGTAATTAGTTGAAGTATTAAGTTTTGTTTTATTTTGGAGTTACAGAGAAACAGAGAGAGGCGCATACATTTGTCCTGGCGGTATTTCCAGGAGGTGGCAAGCAGAAACTAATTTGTCGTTAGCTGTTTCTCATGTGTGATGTTAATTAACACCTAAAATAGCAGCGCTTAATAGTTGGAAATAAAAAACAGATGCTAAATTTTTACAGTAAATACATTTTTTTCATTTTGTGAGTGATTCTAAAGATAAAAGGAAGTTAGGAGTAGTAAATAAAGAATATGCAGCTGACGGTGAGGCTATAGTTACACACTCATAAGTTAGTAGCTGCAGGTGTAATGGTCTTGAAAAGTATTTTAACAAATATAGGGAAAAAATCAAATCCCCTTAACATGAATGGCAGGCTTTTCTAGTAAATACATGCCTGCTCTCTATGACCCAAGATAAAATTTTGGTACAACATTTTAATTGCAAATAAAATGTACATAAAAATAAAAGAGATGTTTTTAAATCTAGAAAACAGTAAACGTATACCTCCAGGAGATAGGATGGGTTAAAAATACACGTAAATTTATGGAAGGAAAACTATCATAAATATAGTTCATCTAAGATAAAAATGGACTTAACAGGTGAGTAAGAATATCTTTTTTAGTTTTCCGATGCCCTTGTAATTGATGCCAGGGAAGATAAACATGTCTCTTTTAAGTGCTTAAATGTAGAAGCATTCAGTGTAATATGGATGAATGACTGAATTACTGAGTAAGTAAACTTTTCTTTATCTTAAAAATTTGGGTTATATGGAGCATGAGCCACTTCAGTTTACTGTGGGTAGGGAGATTAATGCGTTCTGTGGAAAAGAATGATGCTTTTATATGAAATAATTCCTCACCTAATTTTTTCTTAAATCTGGCATCCCTAACACCATTTTTCATGATATGTAGAAGCCAGCTAATTAATACCTCACTAAGATGTGTACTAACAACTCACACATGGACAGCTGGGCCGTGTTTCCCTGTTTCTTCATTCTCTACAAGATAAAAACTCAGAGATATCTTTATAACACAGTTTCACACAGTCTCACACAAATCATACCTATGAGTGAAGAGCTGTGTGTTTTAAACAGTTAAAACTTATAAACATCTATATAACACTTATACATAAGTGACTTTATTAAATATATATTTTATAAAATGACATCACATTTTAATGTGGTCATAAATTATCAAATGAGTCAACATGTAAACCTGAAATGTGTCCTGTGACAAAGATATAGATGCACACGTGTGTATGTGTGTGTGTGTATGTAAACAGACACACTTATTTATTACTAACCAAGACATTTGGAATCAGATCCTGATGTGCCCGCAGAATTGGCACGTTCGATAGACATTAGATGAAAGAGAAGATCAAGAGGCAAAGAAAAAGCAACGTCTCACTTAGAAGGAGGGTCCCCATCCAGCGGAAAAGTGGTGTCACGGCTCCTGCATTTTTCATCTGTCACTTTGGGAAAAGGGTTCTTTTTTGCTTTGCTGGATCAAGAGCAATTTCAAGCACAAGCAAGAAATATTTGTTTAGTAAGAAACAATACTTCTAAAATTCAAACAGAAGATGCATCTGTGTTCTTTTCTCTTTATTGTTTTTTGTGTTCTGGTGATAGTCCATGTTTGTCTTTGAATTTTAGTAGTGTAATCCTTTTATCAAAGGGTGTCAGAATCGCCACTAGAGATTTTTAAATAGATGGCGAACTCTTGGAAATGATCCAGCTGTAATTCAGCATAAAAGCAGAAAACGGTGGCATTTTTCTGTCCTATGATTTATGTATAACTTACTCATTTTCATAGGAATGACATTTCTAAGTTTTGCACTTAGAGAAAATGACTTAGGTTATTTTAAGCCATAACTGACTGATATGCCAGAATTATTTCCACTTTAACATACTATTCTGCACATTGAAGATGATCCTTTATTATGTAAATCCATAGGATAAAGGGACATAAAAATGTGGATGTACTAATCCTGAATGTTTATACGTCACTGTCCTGTAATAACATTTTAAACTTTTACTTTATTGAGAACACATTAGTTTATAAGGTTATATAAGTCTCAGGTGTGCTCCAGGGCGCTCACCGCCAAAAGTCTAGTTCCCAGCTGTCACTGCACAGTGGACCCCCTTTTCCTGCTTGGTCCCCACTCCACCCTCTTCCCCGCCGGTGACCACTCCTCTGCCGCCTGCTTTCCTGGATTTGTTTTCCTTCAGACTCGGTATGCCAAAGCAGAGTCTCTGAACATAAAGTTTTACTTGAACATTATGGCATTCTTTGGTGCTGGTGAATGTCTCTTACTGATTAATTAATGCAACATGTTTCTGACAACACCACTTCCACTTTAGCAGAGCTAGAACTGTATTTGAAGGGAGATAGGAATTCTCTTTGTGAATCATACAAGAATCTTCCAGAGGGCCTGCATCATTGCAAAAGAAATCGATTCATTGTAAGTTGTGAAAAGGTACGTTTTAGAACATTTTGCTGGACTCTCAAATGAGTGGTGATGTGAGCTGGTGATGAAGACTTTAAAAGTATGGATTATTTTTAAAAAGCATCAAACTTCTTTCTGGTCACTTTGGTAAAAGTCACTCATTTCTCACATCTGTGAGCTTTCAGCAGCATTGCCAGAAAGAAGGATTCATATGGGTTCACTAAATTCTATATTTGTATGTTTAGTCCTCAATCTGATACGCCTCAGCAAAGGTCAGGTCGTCAAAGGTCATCATATTAAAGGAAGTCTCGCCATGACAACAAAATGTAAACACTCCATTTCCTCATACTCATCAGCATGGTTCTCAAACATGAGGTTGGTGGCAATAAAACCCAATCTACACAAAGGTAGGTGACAAGAACTATGAGTCCTTCTAAACTGTATAACATGTTAAATATTCTATAACACCTGAAATGTAGCATAACATTGGGAGACATCTTAAGAGTGTGAGTGGCAAAAGATTCAGTATCAATCTATAATTTATGTAGATTTATTATAAAAAAAATAGTAACAATTCTTAGCAATGCATGGCAGGCATATAAAGAATAAAATATCAGATGATTTCTAGACTTCATAAGCTGGCTGTTTACTTAAAAATAAATAATTCTACACTTAATTTTATAATGATTATTCCTTTTTGAAAAATACTTTTATTGGTTGAAAAATGTGATAGGCAGAGATAGTCACATTACATTAAAATGTAAATATTTTAAAACATTTTTAAACTATAGTCAACATACAATGTTACATTAGTAAGTTCCTATGATTTTATTGACTATATTCCCTATACTTTATAATAGATCCCAGTGATTTATTTTATAACTGAAAGCTCATAATTCTTAATCCCCTTCAGCTTTTTCAAACAAAAAATTATAAGCATGTATATGTGCATACTTGTCATACTTACACAGCTAAAGTATTTAGATTTTAATACATATTTTATATGAACTTATATTATTTTATTATATTAATTGATATTGCTAATTACCAAGAATGTGTATATTACTAAATTTGCAAATATTCAATTTAATCTAATTTTTTAGATTTTTATTTATTTATTTTTAGAGAGAGGGAAAGGGAGAGAGAAAGAGGGGGGAAACATCAATGTGTGGTTGTCTCTCACATGCCCCCTCCTGGGCACCTGGCCCACAACCCAGGTATGTGCCCTGACTGGAAATCAAACCATTAATGCTTGGGTACATAGGCCTGCACTCAATCCCCTGAGCCACACCGGTCGGGGCTGCAAATATTTTATATAAATAATACATTCTGTATAGATACAGAAATTCAAAAAAATGAATTCATGGATGTATAAATTTATATACTCTAAAGAAAAAAATTGTCATTCTATTTAGATATTTTTGTTGTTTGTCGCTTCGTATTCTAGATATACTAAATCCCTTTGTTACAGATTTACTAAATCCCTTTGGCAAAATTTCATTGAAATACTTTATTAATATTGGTAACCTAATTAAAATCATTTTCAACAAATTAGAAACAATTTTAATTATCTTTCAAATTTGTCATTTTCTTAATATACAATTTTATATCTTTCAGATTTGGTAAAATAACCTTTTATTATATGTAATGAATGTAATACTTGCTAATTACATGTATACATATTTCAATAGGGATGTGTTTGTTTATATTCATAATAAACTCAGTAGTTTACTTTTAATAGTATTATTAATATAACATTCTTAATTCAGCATTTTGTTTACAAAATTTTCAAATGTCTATGGAGAGTTTGATAGCAAAAGAAGAAAATTTTCAAATGTCTATGGAGAGTTTGATAGCAAAAGAAGAAAATTAAATACTTGCATGTCAGATGTGAACATAGATTGTTCTTCAGAGAAACGTTTAGCTTTATTCAGGTATGCAGAAAGCACCGCACTTACATCACTTCCTAAATGTAAACCATTTATTATAGTAAAATATTTACACTGTAAATAAATACTGGTTCTCATAATTTCAAGGTTGACAATTTTACTATAAATATCATCTGGTAGTGTGGAGGTAAAATACATGACAGATTAAAAACCAAAATTCTAGAGAAAGGAAAAGATACAGTGGTGATACATATCTCGGGACACAATGTTTTAAATAGTCTAGATATAAGCAACTTTTTCTCAGTCTGAACGATAATGATGGCTAATTGCTCCTACATATATTTGTCTCAGAGAAAGTTCAAAATACATGTCACCGTTTTGAAGCATTCGAATTTTTTCTTTCCTGGGAAGCACACACAAGCAAAGAGCTTTTCAACGTACTTTTTGGCCCTCTATTCATTAAAAAATAATTTATATAGTTCAATGGATGCCCGATTATCCCGTTCTTACCTATGTCTTCAAATTCTAGCAGCGCCAAAGAAATGGAAGTTCCAAATTCCCGTGAAACACATGAGGAATAGCAGAAGAGATTGTTCTCCTTTTGCTTCCCTGGTTTCTCATCAGACCCGACTGAGTCACTTTGCTCCGGGCTCCGGCTTTAAGCACCACGACACTCGGTTTGTCACTGCTCACTGGATGCTATTTTGGGTTGTCTGAGCAGAGCCTTGGACACTGAGCCCTTTGTGTGAACCATCGTAAGGGCACTCTGGTGTCCACTCTTAGTCTGGGGTTAAAATGCAGACAGCTCCAGCAAGTAGTATGAACTGTTTGTATTCTTTCCCCTTTTCCTAACAACGAGCAAAAATAAAATAGAAATGAAGGACTTATCGCCTTGAGGTGATAAAGAGGGAATTCAACTTATGTAAGAGGATTCTGCAAGTGGAAAGGACATGCCCTCTGCTTGGGAACTAGCTGATGAAACAAATGATCGATTTAAAGTAAGCACAATAGTTACCAAAAGGAGAAGAGCTTTTGCACTGGGTCTATGCCTCCTGGCTGCTGCTTAATTCAGTCTTTCTGCTCAGGAATGAAGTCGAATACAGAAAGCGAAGGCAGTGTCTAAATTGTAATCCTTCTCTTTTCCTGAGTTCATTGCCTACCTACATATACTGATTATAGGAAAATTATCATTTGATTCTGTCATAAACATTATTTTTGTAAAATACATAGTGTATTTTTTCTCATAATGCTATTTTCTCAAGCTGCTTTTAGTTAAAAACAGTTTTCAATCCAAAATCAGAGAGAGGTTAAGAAATACGAACAGTGTCTAAAACTCTGAATATCTACATAACAATATTGTCAAGGTTTATATATGCAGTTATTGAAAGGAGACGGCCTCAAATTTCAGAGATATACTCGAGTCCTGCAATATTGAGATGGTAGGCATGCTCGTTGCTTTTTTATGATAGCAGGTAAAGGATTACAACTAATGCTGTGAGGACCAAACACACTGTGTTCTGATGTATGCTTCCCTCATTTTTGAATTCAGAAATTGCACCAGTTCCCATTGGTTAAATACATGTCAGGTACTTCCGTTATGTGTGGCAGACCAAATAGAAATAAGGTTTATCTCGTAAACGTTTACAAAAGAATTGGGGTCAGAACACAACATGAGATTTATCCTCTGAACAGAGATTTTAAAGTGCAAAACTAGCACTTACCACTAGCGTGGTAAACGACAGGCACGATGTTGCACAACACATCTCTGGAGCTTTATCTCGTAGAACTTTATGCGCATTGAACAGTTTCCTGTTCCTCTCGCCCCCGAGCCCTGTCAGCCAGCATTCCACTCCCTGCCTCCACGAGTTTAGCTAACTTGCATAGTTCCTGACAGTGGAACCATTCCGTATTTGTCCTGGTCACTGGTTTGTCTGACTTTACATTATGTCCTCAGGATGCATCCAGGTTCTAGTGTTTATGGAAGAATGTGACTTTTTATGGGATGCTGCTTCTTGCTTTGATACAGTTTCCAGACCCACTTTGGAGGGTAGTTGCCCTTTTCCAACCTGACAGTTGCTGTGCGAGGTACGTCCTGAGAGCTTATCTTCCCCCACAGAAGGGAGCAAGTGCGGGTCAGCGTTTGCTACTCCGATTGTTACAATGCCACTGGAAGGACAGGCAGGACTGTGGACTACAGTGAGATAGGATTAGGTTTTCTAAAGAATGTGCAGCTCGGAATTGCATGTTTTATGTAGATTCTACCACATCAGGGTCGGGTAGTTGACTCTAGCTGTCAGCCAACAGTGTTCACGACAGACCTGCGTAAAGTCACTTTTCTAAAATCTGACAATAAAAATAATTTCCTCTGTGGATAATCATTAGATGTCATTCTTTCCTATTAGTCCGATGTAAGTATTTTGTTTTATTTTTAAGAGATTTATGTATCACACTGATAAGTAGGAGAAAAGGAAATGCTTTCTGAGAACAAAAACAACAAACAAAACGCTCGCTACTCCACATGCTTCGAACAATGGTGAGCCCTTTTTGTCAGACTCGGCAAAGCTTGGCTCCTAGTTTTAAAATATCTGTTAAACATGGCGACACTTTGTATAGCCTTCGATGATTTATCTTTTAAATTCTAGTTGCAGCAGTGTTGGTCTGATATAATTAAAATTTATCTGTTCATAAATATATACATGTCATCTTTTATTTCTCTTTTGTTTTGTTACTGTGAGCATACCTTCTCTGGAGCTCTGCATCCAAGGAAGAGTTTTTCTTGATTAAACTGTAACCTAACCCCCATGATAAAGGAAATTGGCAATACATAACTACATAAATAACGAAAATGTCCACTCTATAAGAGACATACTTTAACAATTGGCAATACAAAAATAATTTAAAATGCAGGAATCCAGAAATAGAACTCCAGAAATGCAGAATTATCACTGTTGATTGTCCTGATTGTCAATCTATTATCTATCACCTTTACTTTCGCAAGATCGTGTCAGAGGTTAGAGTGATAAAAGACACGTAAGACTCTGACCAACCGCTTCTTGAAAATGAAAAGCACAAATAAATTGTAAGCATCACAAAGGAGCAAAAACAAAAAGAAAATCCCATAGAATCATTTGGGAGAAGGGGAAGGTCAGCGTCCACTGCACGTGCGGTGAGATGTGAAACACGAGTGGTTGGATCAACGCTGAGCAAGGGAGGCGTGTGCAACAGAGCAGCTCATTTGCACTCGGAGCTGAACCGCACACGTTGATGCCCTGTGTATTGCTTAAGCTTCCTGAAATGCAGTAGTACCTCTAAAACGCTGCTACATTTTCTAAAGATTGTGCATATACTTGTGAAAAGGAAAATCCTGCTTAAATGGGTATATTTAAACTAATGGAAACTAGTCATTGGAAATTAGTAGAAATGGAATTTGAACATTAATTAAATGGCAATCTTTCTCTACCTCACAAATTGAGACACCCATGTGCCAAGTCCAGCTGGCCCCCCACTGATATAAGGAAGGTGTGCTGGAACTCAGCCATTCACAGTCGCTGTGCGTGGTCTCCATTGTCTGTGGCTGCTCTCGTACTATCATGGCGGTGAGGAGTCCTCGCAATGGACTCTTGACCTAAAAAACCTGAAATAATTACTATCTTGGCACTTACAGGGACAGTTGACCAATTTCTGCTTTGTTTTGTGTAATGTAGTGGCTTTTAATATTTACAGTATACTTGAAAATTAAATTATATATGTGATCAATAAATATATGTATAAATGTATACATAAATATACAAAAATCTACTCAGCAGAAATGACCTTATTCTACATTATATTTTCTGACAGTGGATTGATTAATTAATATGGTTAAATAAAACAGTGTTTCTTAAAGATAGCTTTAATATTTTATTTTATTATTATATACACATGTAGTTTAATTTAATATATTATATGTAATTGTACTATTTATGTGTGTGTATATGTGCATGTATATATATACAGTTGCAGGTGGCAAGGCAATTTCTCTAAGATATTATCCTCAGAATAGATCTCTGCATTTTTTCTTTTATAAAGCACATTCATCATGTGTCTAGGTTTTCCTATTTGTATCTTAAGAGTGAAGGAAAATTTAAAGAAACATGAAGACTTATCAGTCAAAGAATTGTAATTCACTTTTTTAGGGCTGTTTTTTAGGTTATAGCAACAGCCAGCATGAAGACCGCTCGTCCCAGGGCCCGGCCCTGCCCATCCCAGCCTGGCCTGCTGTCCGATCCCGCGCCCGAGTGGTGTGTGTCTTCATTCTAACCGATGAACCTACGCAGCGCATCAACCGCTCTCTCCCGAAGTCCAGAGTCCACACTAGGGGTCTCCCCTCGTGTTGCTCATTCTGTGGTTTTGGGCAAATGTGTACTGACCTGTCTCCGCCATTATAGCATCAGACAGCATGGGTTCACTGCCTCAAGATCCTCTGTGCTCTGCCCTTCATCCCCCCTCCCACTCCCAACCCCCCAAGCCACCACTGATCTTTTTACTGTCTCCATAGTTCTGCCTTTTCCAGAATGTTGCTTGGTTGCAATCATAAGCATGCAGTCTTTTCACAATGGCTTCTTCCGCTTAGCAATATGGAGTTCAGATTTCTCCAGGTATGTGCATGACAGGGTAGAGCATTTCTTTTCTTTTCATTCCTGAATAATATTCCATTGTCTGGATGCACCACCGTGTATCTGTTCTCCTACTGATCAGTCAGCATCTTGGCTGCTTGTGAGTTTTAACAATTATGAATAGAGCTGTACAGGTTTTTGGGTGGACACAAACTGTTACTACCCGGTGTTAATGATTTTTTAATCACTATTTTTAAAGTGTTTTTATTTGCACCCTTTAATGGCCTTTTAACATCTTGATTTTAATAAGCATCTCTAAAAATTCATCTTAATTTTACCAAAAAATGGCCTGTGCTTTCAGACACATATTACTAGTTATATTTTGTAAATCCACATGTTCAATAATAAGGAAGCCTGGCACTCGTACTTTTGCAAGCACACATAGCCAGACCTTTGGAGGCATGCAATGCATGGCTGAAAGCCAAACTGCGCTCACACACCAGAGCACTGTGGCAGGGTCAGAGCGTCTGCATGCAGGAGAAACGGGATGCTTCAGTTTTTCCACTTCTCAGTACGCATGGAATGACCGTACTCTGATACAAGTTATTCATATGTAATGTCCTTTAATCCTCACAGCATTCCTCCCAGGTGGTTGCTGGCCCCCTTACATTTGTGTAAACATAAGACAAATAGCAGAGCAGTTTCCGAATAGTTTTTCTAATGTCAAAATCTCTGCTGTAATCACCATGCAACATTTCTTCTTTCCTGAAGAAAACATAAAATTTTTAAAAGAAACACTTCTTTAAAAAACAGGGTCATGCATGTAAGTTCTTTGGCTTCTCCATTTCCTGTACTATTCTTAACACTCCTCTGTCTACTTTATATTTTGTACTTCTTAATCCCTGCACCTTTTCCCTCATTCTCTCCTTTCCCCTTCCCAGCTGATAACCCTTGGAAATGATTTTCCTGTCTATGATTCTGTTCCTGTTCTGCTAATTTGCTTAGTTTGTTTTTTAGATTCAGTTGTTGATAGCT